TAACTAACAAGTTCATTTGCTTGTGTAATAAGTGCGATTTTCACAGGGTTCCGTCATCAGTCGCTACTGCGGGCCTTGTGCCTGACTAAGCTAAGAAGAAAGAGAACAAGCCAACGTATATTGATTGGGACTGGGAAATATTCTAGACTCCCATTTAAAAAAAAATTTTCAAAATCAACCAATTGAGAGATCAGCATGCTTTCAGCAACTGGCAAGTGAAACACATTTTTTGTACTATAACTAAAAAATCTAGGTACCTCCAATTTTTGTTTTTAAAAAGAGCATACCATGATGAAAGAAGGTCGCAAACCTCATAAAAAGAAAGTTTTATCGTTAATTAAAATCTTTGTTATTATTAAAAAAAGGAAAGGCCAAAGTATGTATTATTATTATTTTATTCATTTTTCATCCTTTCTAGTACGTTCGAAATTTTGGTTAAAAATATTGTTTTTCTTGCATCAGAGGGTGGACCAAAGGGAGATTTTTTAGCGTCTTTTTTTGTTGTTAAAAACACATTGTTTTGGAAATTCCTCCAAAAAAATCAAATAATTGTCGAATTTTAATTAAATTCTCAGGACACGAATGAGATAATTTTTTAATTATTTTTTTAGAAAATTTTGGTAACAATTTTTTTTTTATTAGCATCTGTTACCCCCAATTTCTTTAATTATTATGAAATTTTATTTCTTCATCTTTATATTAAAACTAAAAGCTAGACTTCTTGGAGAATTTAAAATCTATTTTTTAAATCATTACCAATAACTGAAAATCTCGATTAAGGATGTGAGTGGTATAATGAAAAATGACTTGGTATGAGAAATCTGAAAACCGAGTTCGAATTCCAGTCGAGTTCGTTTCATTCACTTACGCGCAAATACCCTTGGCAAAAGGTAGGAATCAATCTCTTCCCCTTCTAGCTATGGGTTAAATAGCAGGACTTGTATCTGGGAAATCATTATCTTCAAAAACTTTTACTGCAATATATAATAGCTGGCCACTCGTGTTCGAGGATACCAGCCTATTAGGGCGGCTAGCTAATCCCCATTAAAGACGATCACTCAGGCACATTTGAGAGAGAGCGTGTTATCTAGCGTGATCAACAATCTGAACAAGGCCAGCACACTCAAACACGATGACTTGTGACTTCGTGCTGGTCTTCTTCCGACAAATCGACCATGATGAGATTCGAATTCGGGCCTCATGGTCAGAAAGCGAATCTAATCACTCGGCCACGCGCACCACTCGCTATATATATATATATATATATATATAACGGGTGTAATAGCAAAATTGTCACATTATTAAATTAAGCTCTGAACTGTTGTATCTTAGAAAGAATTAAATATATATTACTGGAATTCTCCGAGGTTTTTATAACACTATTGGACTCTACCTTGAGCAATGAGAATGTATAATTACTCCCCAAGCTTAAAAGAAGAATCGTGATGAAATTGATCATAAATGAAAATGACATATTTCTCATTAATTAATAACAGCTAAGGATCTGCGGTTCATGAAGGATTGAAATAAAGTTCAAATATTATTCCAAGATCATTTCCCAACTTATTCAAGATACTGTTCGCCCCTCTCTAATTTTCTGTCCTGGAGTAGCAAGGTGCCTTGGAGGTTTCATTTACGATTTCATTTTTAAGTCTCTTTTCACTGCTCTTTGGACTATCATAGCTGAAGAAACTCCTCTCTCACGTGCCAAATGTCTTATGGATTGAGTGGGATCTTTTCTAATTGATTTCTTTAGCGCTAAGTTGAAATGATGATCCCTCTTCCTCTTACGACCTCCTCATCCAATTTCCCTTTCTACTGTTCCCTCTTTTTTAAACTTATTCACCGTTCTCTTGATGTTTCTTGAATGGACTTTGAAGATGGAAGCCAGAGTATGAATGTGGGTACCATTACTGAAGGCCTGAATGATCTTTTTCCTTTCACAATTGCTCATTTGGGAAGACAGCGGGGCTGACACAAAACAATTTTAACCTATTCACTTTCCAGCTGAATAACTCAAAAGGTTTTTTTAGTCATTCTTATGACAAATGGTGTCAAGATGGCTAAACGTCTTATTTGAAAACCTGGAAAAAAGAAACTCAATTAGTTTTGTGTTTTTTTTAGATATTAAATATTTTGTGGGATGGACAGTTATGCTGCATCCCGATGTGGACAATTTTGCTGTTACACCCGGTAATTCCTGCAATCTGCAAAAACATGTCTCATTCTTTTTTCTTTTTTTTTAATAATCCACATATGGTTGATAAGTCGGGAAAAACAAATACAAACCCGATTCTCAAGTGTTCATCTTGTGAAAGGTAAGTTATTTTTCAAGAGCAAAAATCCCAAGGGTATCATGATTGTGATTGTGATAAAATAGAAAATTGAGTTACTCATTTAAATACATATTGGTTGAAAATGCAATTTTTTTTTCTATTTACCGAAAACACGAAATAACAGACTAAACTCGAATGAATGTTGCTATCTATTGAGATAACGTAACAGGAGGTGGGGAATAGATATCTGCCAAACCAAACGAAAACTGGAACGTTAAATGACGTCAATAAGTTGTTTTTGTTTTTTTTAGAAATTTTCAAAATATTTATAGAATGTAATTTCTGTTAGTAATTTTATTTATTAAGTTAAGAGTAATACATTGAATCTAAAAGGAAATTTGTTGACTATCTGGATAAAAAGCAACCTATCGATCTTTATCAGAAGACAATGTACTAAAATATTCGTGTTGTAAAGTTAACCTAAAGATTTGGACAATCACGTAAGAATAGAAAGTTAGTTCTGCCGAATTTGACTGCAGTACAACACAATGTAAATCAAAGATTGGGTGCTAAAGTCTCATCTCCTTCCCACAATCTGACCAAATATCTAAATATATCAAAATTTCTTTTGGCTGGGCCGAGAACCTTTCAGTAATTACAGTGGCGGGTCTATTATGAAACAAACAAAGTTTAAGCTTGAGGGACCCTAATCCTAGAACGGATCCTGAAGCAACTGTTTTAATGAGTTAATTTTTCAACAAATTCGATGTTTATTTTTTAATTGTTTGTTATTGAAGCCACTTTAGTGATAGTTTAGAGTTCCACTTCAGTTTTAAAATTTTCAACAAATCATTGCTTAAAAAATAATGCAATTACTGTATGTCTTCTTAAAAAAGTGAAAATTTTGTGCAAAAAGTAGATCACACAGACTTTGCTATTTTTCTAATCGCTGATTGGCTGAATAAAAATAAATATGAAAGACGCCTACGCAATCAGGTTTTGCCGCCAATGTTTTTGAACAGCAGCCTGGAGCCTGTCATGTGACAGACAACCAAATAAATAAGAAGCGCAAACGTATCCCATCAGTGAGACAAAAGAACAGTCAACCAGACACATCGCTGCCGGGATAAAGAAATTCAACTTCGATATTACAGTATTTTTCCAATTCTTCACCAGCAAGAAATTACTTAAAGAAAATGTTTTTTCCTGAAGTTAAAAGTTTACCAAACACATTTTCAGCTCTTCAGGACATAATTCAAGAAACATTCTCACTCAGTTCTATTTAACAAAATTTGCTCTTGGTGAAACTTTTTCTTTTAAGGGTAAGTTTTATTGTAATTATTTTCAGAAGTACAAAACCTCATTTTATTTAGTATCAAACAGAAACTTCTTGAAACATCAAATAAATATTCAAAGTTCTATCTTACCAAACACATTTTCACAATGTTCATATTACACAAAACATTTAACTAATTCACAAAGAACATTTCTTCTAAAAACAAACTCCTTTCATTGTGAGACCTGATAAAAAAATTCTATCTTTCAAAGAACAGTTTCAAATAATTAATTACCTAGTTAGGGTAAGCAACTCTTATTTTTGCATTGTAGAATTGCTGTACCAAAAGACACTGTTTTGAAGGAACATTTTAAAATATTTTTATTCGTTCAATTAACATTACTGAACTTTGAAACTCAGCATAGCTCAACTAAAAAGTCTGACCAATTTATTCTTAATAATTGTATAAATATTTTGTTATTGTTTTACGTATGTTGTCATCTTTTGATTGCCTTGTTAACCTTGTGCCATACATCAAAAATTAAATGTTTGTGGAGGAATGAAGTTTTACACATGCAGCCAACCTTACGTAACTAAAAAGCTTTCTGATCACTTTTTAAATTTATTTCACCTTCTCCTCCGCAACAATAAAATCATTAGCCAATGGTTTGAAGTAGCTAATATTGGCCTGAGATTATACTGTCTAATATCTATTTCAAAATTCCCCTGTAATTTGTCAAATTTCAAAATTTGCAGCGCCCGAACCCTCAGAAGTATGCGCTGATTGAGCCTGACATAATCTATTCATAGACTACATTGTGGTAGTTGGAGCATCGAATTGCGAGGTTTTTGCTCTCCATATCTGTTCAGTGTTCAGGTTTCGGGCCCAATGTAGACCCACCACTGCCCCCGTATGATAGATGTATGTGTGTAAAATGATGTACTTTATTGGTGCGGATTTAGGATTTTGAGCAAGGTGGGGTTCAAATTAAAATAATTTGGGGTTCAATGTTCATGCAGGCAGTTTAGGTTCTTTCTGCACAGGAATTGTTCACTTAAACCATAGTTTTTTCGCACTAGAAACGAAAAAAATGGGTAAAGTAAAAAAAAAAATATAAATAAAATAATAAATTACTACAGAACTAATAAATAAATGATAAAAAGGTTTATTTGTTTTTACGGCTTATCAACCCTGTGCAGGTTATTTAAAGCCAGAAAATATTTTTAGATTGTAAGAACTTTTTTCTTGGAGTGAGGGATATAATAGTTCATAATACAAGTCTTACTAATTAACCCATAACTGAGGGAGAAAAGGTGGATTCATAACTTTCCCCGGGGTATTTGCACACAAGTGCATAAACGAACCAGATTGAAGGTGGAACTCGGGTCTCCGATTAACCATTCCAAACTGTTATCCATTACACCACTTTCACATCCAAACTTACAATACACCTGGTATTCCCAAGCCGTCACCCATCAAGGTACTGACCAGGTTCGATGTTGCTTAACTTCGGTGATCGTACGGGAACTGGTGTTTCAACGTGATGTGGCCATGATAAAAAGAATAAAACAGAAGACGTGATCTTCTTTTATGTTCCGTATCCCTTCAGAAAGTAAATGATCATGGCTCTCCACAACTTCCTATACTTTGTGGCTCTGTCTCCTTACTATCCCTCCCAGTCTCCGTTTCGCTATCCCTTCCCGCCAGCTTGTTATGTAGGTTACTCGCTGCTTCGCTCTGTCCCACTTGCCTTCAATTTCATTCGAGTGTTAGATTCTCCAAATCCTTTCCTCTGTCCCAGAAATTTCAACTGTTTTTTTCCTGATTCTTAGTAGAAGCGTCCTTTCTGTTTTCATTTCACGGAAAACTTCCTTGATATTCACATGTTCCTTCATTGGTATTCTCAGCATCCTTCTGTAGAATCACATCTCTGTCGCCTCAAGTCTCCGCCTCATCTTTGAAGAAATTGCCCAGCAGTCACTGCCATATATGAGGATTAGATATTGTATAGCAGTTAAGCATGCTTTTTTTTCTTTGTTTCTAAAGAAATTTTCCTGCTTTTTAATACTTTGGAAGGAATCATTGTTATTTCAAAGCGCCTTCAGGAAAAGCGAAATATTTTTTTTCTTTTAAAAAGTTAATTTATGACTGAGAGTGTTTTTTTTTTTTTTTTTTTTGTTTATAAAAAATTTATTTCTCTCGATATTCATCTATTTTGCTTTGTGCTTTCTCCAAAATGGAAACCTATTCTCCAGCCATCTACATCCATTCCTGATAACTAGCGAGGTATTATAGCAGTACTCATTAATCAGGGTATTTTGAGATATTCCACGTTCTTTTAATATTTTGGTAAATAACAGTTCCCCAATTGAACACGTAATAATGTTCCACATACACACATTAAACTTTGCATTACAGCTACCTCACTATTATTCAATGACCGGCCATTATTATTGTAAAAAAAGAGAGAGAAGGTCCCATCCTTACCAGATATTTCATATTTGCGGTATTGAGCTGTGCTAAGCAAAATAGTAAAGAGATAATTTAAAAAAAATGAAAACAATTCTTGTAAAAATTAATTATTTATCGAAAAAAAAAAAAAAATCCTTAAGACAATAGTGTCCTTAATAAATTTTATTTATCAAGGCAATTAAAAATTTTCTAATTAGATAATGTTATTTTTTATTGAATTTATTATTTTACAATTCAGAGCAGATTTTTGGTAAATGTGTTAACTGTTTTACAAAAAAAAAAAAAAAATCTTGATGATTTACTATCTCCAAAGAGTCCTGCTTTTTTTTTTTTTTTTATTAAACTAATAAAAAAAATCCCCGACCTAAAAATTTAATTTCTCTAAATTTTATAAAAAGAAGTGGGAGGTAATATATATAAAAAAAATATTTTACCTAAATTTTCTAAAAAAAAAAAAAATTTTTTTTAAATCTCATTCATTTCTGAATATGTCCTGAAAGTTTCATTAAAATCCAACAATTAATTGAATTTTGTAAGAATTTCCAAATTAATGTTTTTCACCGGAAAAAAAAAAAACGCAAAAAATAACTAACCTTTATCTTTGGTCAGTTGCTGACGTAAAAAAAAAAAATAGATTTTTAACCAAAATTTCCAACGTGCTAGAAAGGAGTAAAAAAAAAAAAAAAATTAAAAAAATAAAATACTTTGGTCTTTCTTCTTAATAATAACAAACATTTTGATGACAAAACTTGGTTTTTATTGAGTTTGGGTCCTTTTTTTTCATCATGCTATGCTGTTTTTTACTGCGCCAAAGTGGAGGTACCTAGATAAATATCTGCCAAAAAAACTTATTAGGTCGTGGTGTTTCGGAGATCATTAATACTAACAATGAGTTTGATTCTCACTGGGTGACTCATGTTTGTGGCTTCGTGCCAAACTAAAGCATAGTTTAGTAAAGACGGAGGGCGGGCGGTTAACATTTGAAGGAGAGATAGTAAAGAGTCAAGAAAAAAAAGGTAGGGAAACACGTAATTAAGCCAGTTTGTCTTTGGACATCAATTTAAAGCATTGCCCAGGGCCTCCGATCAGATTTGGACCCTCCTCACCGGTCCGGTGGTTCGGGGGTGGTACACACCGAACCTGGATTTCTTGAACATTTCTTTGTAATTTCCAGATGAATTAAAAGCATATGATTTATAAAGTTTTGTCTAGAAGTCTCCAGATAATGCGAATTAAAGTAATTTTCCAAGTGTCGCTTTGTCTCATTAAACGGCGATCTGATTTTCTTGTTTTTGTAACTTCATTAGTTTAGTAAGATTTAGTAAGCAAAATTATTGTCTACTCTAAATGACACAACATATTAGTAGGGAGTGGATTAAGCGATGGTACAAGTCAATTACTGTAGTCCTTGCTAAAACGTGTGCATTGATACGGAAATATGCGAAATTCACAGCCTCTAAGCCAGGTATATCAGAGTTTCTTCTTAATCTCTCGGTACTACGCAGTTAATCTGTCGCATTTGTTTAATAAAGTAACCGCTTGCTTAGTCTTTATTTCCAAGCTGGATGTGCGAGTAGAGTAGCGGTTATTGGCACAGAAAGTGGAATAGTTAAGCAGAGTTCAAGTTCTAGCCTCGTCTGTTGCGTTCACTTCAGCTCTTGGGAAATGTATAAATCCATCTATTCTCCCCATGGAATAATCCCATGATTTATTGGGAAAGATGAACTCTCATAGCATTTGAACAGAACACAATTGGAGTTTGAACAAGGTTCGTGGATTTTCAGTATTGATAACCGTTGAATGATATTTGTAAATAGCAAAAATAAATTAGTTATTAAAACAATACCTATACTATAAGCATGTGGAATTGGACCTCAATAGTTGCTGTATTGCTATGGCTCTAACAGGTTCAGTTTAGTAATTAATTATTTTAAATTTAGTTAGTCACTTTCTTGACCCATACATGCAGTCACATTCGTTTCCCTCCGAGATGGTATCAAAACATTGCCGGTGTAACAGCCCGGATTAACTCCAAGAATATACCAGACGAGCTCCATCGGGCTGTCCGAAGCAATACCTCTCCTTTGGGAGATGTCTAAGGTATTACTCGGCGCCTGAGACGTCCTCAAACGGGGAAAAGTCGAGACTCGGGCAATTTTTGTTCCTTGGTTCATCTGCACGTGAGCTCCCACTGTAAAGTCACCACTGTGTCACATTTTGTGCTAGGTGAACAAATAAATACTTTATAGTTAAACTTTAACATAATATATTCAAGAGAGAGAGAGAGAGAAAGGAGTCAAAAATTTCTTAAAACTATAAAAGATGGGAATTCGTGGAGAACCCACGTCCTGAAGGGACACGGCACATAAAAGATTACCGTAGTAACATGAACTCTACCAATCATTGCGATGGGTTCTGAACTTTTACATTACAGGATAAAACCATTGGTAATCGAATATCGGCATTTTTGGCCCTGAGGTACAAAAGGAATTAAGTTCATGAGATCGTCTCCGCGGGCAACGCTTCTTCTTTTTACCTGATATCGGAAAGCCTTTTCTCTTAATAGGGAAGAGCCGAATAATCTTGGGTAATTTTTGTCCTTTAGCTCCTTTAGTGGGTTCCCACTGTAAACACGACTTTGCTTCGTCTTCTGTACGAGTGGACAGATATAAATACTCCCAAACAATACCTCTCCATCAATAGGTGACCGAGGTTTATTACTTGATGCTTCAGTTTTCACTAAAAGGTACGGGACTATTGTACGCGTGGTGCCCGCACTTTAAACTCGTTCTTGTGTCAAATTCTGTTCGCGTTCGGATAAATACTCACAGAATATATCACTGTATAGTTTTGTCTAGAATAACCCTGAGATATGGCAAGGACTAGCCTTTTAGGGTAGAAATTTGCATAGTTTAAACTATGTCCTACTAAGCGTTTTTACTATTTGTAACAATAACATTTTTTCTACTTCTTTTTTTAATCGAATTCATCCCAAGCAAAGCAGTAAAGACACAAGGGGTGACTGGGTGTGGTAGAATTAGAAAACAGAAACATTACTAAGGAGTGAAAAAATAAGAGTAATAAGGAGGATAGTAGACAACGATTGACATTGTATTTAACTTTTTGAAGATTAAAGTTGACTGGAAAGCATGGAACCAGAAGAGAGTTCCACAAGCGAGAAGTGCGGAAAATAAACTGTTAGCATAAAACTTATGGTTACATCTAGCCACCTCAACTGTAAATTGATGAGATCTCGACGACAGTCTAGTACTGCGCTTAAATTTAAAATGCCGAGGTACCATAGTGAAGAGTGATATTCATTTGTGAAAATACAAAATGTGGCATAAGCTACCATAGTGAAGAGTTCATCCGAACAATTACCAGAATATGTAATTTTTCAGCATTACCAGACCCAGGGATTAAACTGTCATAGAACAGATATGCTTTAACCAACGATTTAATGTGTCTGCAAAGACTTATACTCTAGTACAGGAGTCGGCAACTCATTCGACCCCGCGGGCCGGATCGTGTTATAATGACGGGTCGCGGGCCGGACGAAGGCCATTAATGAAAATTACATATGCAGACCCCTGTCAACCTAAAAATATTTAAAACCATAATGAAAATAAACATTGAGAAATCAGAAAAACTAAAGAAAATCTAAAATTAAAAAAACACCTAACAAAAATTACTTTTCCTCAAGGAACGTCAAAATACTTCAAAGTGAAAAAAATCAACTGAAATGAAATGGATGAAATTATGACGTGTAGGTTTGAAACTGTTATTGAAAATTGTTCCACAAACGAACCACACACGCACACAAAAACGAAGCACATATACCCATACATACGAGTACAAATAGTTGCAAACATATACACTTACGTACGTACACATGCGGTATCATCCACACATTCATGAGGCATGTATGTATAATGCGCGTATGTTTAACTGTCTTTAGATTTCTGCTACCTCGCATGTCAGTCCCTCCCTGGCCTCTTTCACTTTATCGTTCCTTTCGCTTCTGTTATCTTTTAATGTAGTCAAGGGTCATAACAAATATGTATCCATTATTTGACATTA